GGAGCACACCTGAAGCTAATATAAAATGATATTCAATGTCAAGTGTAGTTGAAAAATGAGAGGGGTGGGCTCTGACTATAACCCTGGTTCTAGGACTCACACCTGAGAAGGAGGTTGCAGGGGTGTGTGCAGACGCTCTGAGAGGTGAATCCTTGTCCAGGGCTGTGCTTGCGCCTCCGGAGGGGACTGGGACCCCGGCCTGACTCGGGGCCCCTCATTCAGTGGTCCTGGTGCTCTCCTCTCCCCAGCGCCAGTTCCACGCCCCGCCCCCATGTCCTGGGGCAGTTCCCACCAGAGGCCTGGAGTGGAGGAGGCTCCTGAGACCACCTTCGCTGAGTGGTCTCTAGGCTGCCGAGTGAAGGGGAGGGCACAGGGGAGGACGACTGGGGTGACCCTGGCCCCGGATCCGTGTCCCAGCCCAGCAGTGTCCAGAATTCACCCCACACAACGCCGCCCATGTACCTGGGGTTCCCGGGGCCAACCGCTGCACCGTGGGGGCGGGGGCACCGCTCTCCACTGTCTCGCCTGGAGCTGAGGCAGGGTTGGCCGTGGCCAGGGACCGTCTCTGCCCCGGGGCGACCCAGGGCAGTAGCAGCAGTAGCCACAGCAGGTCCACTGGCCAACCTGGGCCTCGGCCTCCACGTGTCCACTTCTCCTTGCCCATCGCAGGGTCACTGAACTCGACCTGACCCCGCCCTGACCCTGGCCCTGACCCCGCCCTGACCCTGCCCTTACTCCCACTTCAGCCCAGTCCTGACCCTGGCCCTGACCCATCCCTGGGTCTGCCCTAACCCTCTAGCCTCCCTACCCCAAACTGGCCCACTCTGACCTGGCCCTGGCCCAGCCCTGACCCTAGCCTTGACTACTCAGGTAATGGGCTCCTGACCACAACTGTGCCTGACCTTTTGTCAGGAGGTTGTATGGCCTGGACCACAGTGCTCCTATGAATTAATCATAAGAGATAGTGGACTGCATGGAAATATGGGAAAGGGTATGAAAAGGTAATTCATGGAAGAGGAAATTAAAAAGTCCCATAAACAGGAAACAGTAGTCAATCTATTTACTTTCTAGAAAATGAAAATTAAAGCATCATTTTTTTTCAGCCATCAAATTGTAAACATTTTCTGAGATTGATAAAGGCCCCTCGTCTTCTGCTAATCAGTGATTTCCTCATGGAGTGAGGGAAGCATCCAAATTTCAAAGACATGTTCCCTCTTGTCTACTCCAGCATGTATTCCCCTGGATTTGTCGTACTAGAGATAAGATCCTATCTTCAACAGTCATTTCCTTATGCGTGTCTTTGTCCCTGGACTGTAAACTCTACACTACAGGGAAATTATTTCATTCACCACTGAGTCTAGGGGTAAGAGGAACAGAAGTAGCGCTGCACACAGTATACACTAAAATGTCAAGTTAATAACAACTATTCTTTTTAAAACATTTTTATTGAATTTGAAAGAGAGGAATGGAGAGGGAGAAAGAAAGAGAAACATTGATATGAGAGTAGAATATCAACTGGATGCCTCCTGCATGCCCCCCACTGGGGATCAAGCCCACAACCCGAGCATGTGCCCAGAAATCCAACCAACAACCTTTTGGTGCACAGGACGATGCCCAACCAACTGAGACACTGGCCAGGGCAAAAGCTACCACTCTCATTAATGAAAACAGAAACCAAGGTCACCACAGCCTTACTTAATGGTTAAGAACTTGAACTTCAATAAAGTTTTTATAATATTTAGGGTTTGATAGGATAATACTCGTGTTATAAATAGCTTATGCTTCAATAAAGAGACTAGAAGAAGAATTCAAAAATTTTGTAAAAGAGACTGTAGATTTGACAGGTGAAGATAATGAAGACCATGGCAATGAATTAAGACTGAGGTATCTGTGGAATATTGAGTGGGATCTGTCCAATAGACATTTAGAAGAGCCGGCTATGGAATTTGGGGAGTGTATTTGGGTTGGAGATAAAAATATAAATTCACTAGAGATTCAGTCCTTTCAGAATTGAGGTGACCATTGAAGCTGTAGGGTAGGTAAATCATCAGAAGAAAGTACTAGAAGAAAATCACAGAACAAAACCTAAAAAAGAGCCAAATAAGAAAACGGAGCCTGTGAGAGACTTAGGACTGCATGTGGTAAGATTAAACTGTAGAAAGACGAAATATAAGATGTCTTAACTTTTTAGAAACTTTATTGAGATATAATTTATATACTATGACATTCACTCATTACAAGGGAAAATTCATGACATTCAGTTCATTTTTAGATAGTGCAACCATCACCAAATTTGCATTAATGTCTGCTCCCACCCCAGCTCTAGCTTTAAGTCTGCCTAGATCATTTTCTTGAAATTAAAAAAAAACAACACTGAAAAATAAATAAAAGCATTTAAGACAAGTTAAAAAAAAGTCTCCCTAAATTTCTGTTTCCTGGAAATTAATGTAAATGGAATCACACAGTATGTAGTCTTTCAAGTCTGGCTTCCTTAGCATAATGTTTTCAAAGTTCATCCATGTTGGAGCACATGTTAACATCTTGTTCCTTTCTGTTCCATTGTATAGTGGTACCACATTTTGGTTGTCTATTGATGGACATTTGGATTGTTTTCAGTTTGATGTTATTATGAGTATTCCTGTGCAAGTCTTTGTGTGGATAAATGTTTTAATTTCTCTTGGGTACATTCCTAGGAATGAAACTGGTAAGTTTATCTTTGAAGTTTTAAAAACTCCCAAACCACTTTCCAAAGAGTCTGTATCATTATTCCCATCCGGTGTATAAAGTTGCCACTTTTTCCACCTGATTGCCAACACTAGGCAGTCTCTATCTTCTTTATTATAGACATTTTATTGGGTGTCAAATGGTATCTTGCACTTAAATTTGCATTTCCCTAATGACTAATGATATTGACTATGTTTTTATCTGCTTAGTGGCCACTCATATACATTCTATAGTGAAATGCCTAGTCAAATCTCTTGCCTATTTCAAAAAGTGTTCTTTGTCTCTTCATTAAGTTGTAAATGTTGTTTATGCTTTGTATTCTGGACAAAAGTTCTTTGCCAGATATGTGATTTTCAAGCATTTACTCCAATCTGTGGCATAACTTTTCATTCTTTTAACAGTAGGTTTTGAAGAGCAAACATTTTTAATCTTGATAAAGTCCAATTTATCAATTTTTGTCTTGTATGAATCACACTTTTGATGTCATACCTAAAATGTCATAAAGATTACTTCTGTATTTTCTTTTAGAAATTTTAAGGGTTGATTTTATATTTGGGTGTGTGATCAATTTTGAATTCATTTTTTGTGCAGTGTGATGTAAGTTTTTTTGTTTTTGTTTTGTTCGCGGATATCCATTTGACCGAGTACCATAATCTTCATTTAAAAAGACTAGATCCCTCCCCCCCTTTGAGTAGTCATGGGACTTTGTTAAATTCAGTTGATAACAAAAAGTAAGACTTCTTTCTGAACTCCTGATTCTGTGTCATTGGTGTACAAGCTTAGCTTTGTGCCAGAATTTCACTGTCTAGACTAACATAGGTTGCAGTAAATCTTGAATTCAGGTAGCTAAAGCCTGAGATTTATATTTTTTCTAAACTAGATAGGCTATTTTATGTTTTTAATTTCCATATGAACTTTAGTATTAGCTCGTCCATTTCTACCTAAAAAAGGTCTGTTAATATTCTGTCAGACTGCATTTAATGTATAAGTAAGTTTAAGAATTGTCACCTAAAATTTTCCCTTCAGATGGCTCTTTAACCATGAATTGTTTAGAAATGTGCATCTTAACTTCCAAATGTTTGGAGGCTTTCTTCTTCTCATTCTTATTTTTATGTAATTTAAAGCTTAAACTTTGGACACGGTAGAGGAAAATGCGATTGGGTTCATCTAGTTACTTCATATAGTTTCAAATATCATTGGAGTGAACTTTCCCACTATTAATATTACATAGTGATTCTCAGTCTTATGCACTTGTAGAGCAGTCATAGGGGGTTCCCGGAAAATACAAACTGCAGGCTGCTGGAGATGTGCTTATCAGGGAAGTTCACAGGCAGGAATAGTGGGAAGTGTGTGGTCCCCACTGCATATTGCTTCCTGGGCCAACAACAGGGATGCAGTAGGGAACAGGGTCCAGGAGAGAGGCCCAAGCCTCGGTCTCTGGTGCTTTGTGCTGCATGACCAGTGAAGCCCAGGCCCTGTGGACAGGAATGGGAAGGAGCACGGTGGCTCACAGGCCCTTCATGGAACAAGCACTCAGGGTGAGGAGAGCACCAGCATCCTCCCTGCTGGTCAGGGCTGATTCTGAGCTTGTGTTTGCGGCATGTACTGCTCAGTAAGCCCATGGCTTAGTCCAAGGGTAGTGCTCACCAGCCTTGGAAGCCTTAAGCCCTAGATACAGGCAGGTTCATGAAGCCTGAGGTGGGCCAGCCTGTGGGGAAGTGGTCTTTCACAGGTTTAACCTTCAACAATCAAACTATTCTTCACTTCTCCTTTCTCCTCAACCCAGAGAAAAAGGACAGTTACTCACAGGGTTGCCAATCTTTCATTTTTCTTTCCCTTTTTGTAAAATATGTTTTTATTTATTTTTTATCTTGTCCTCAAATATACAACTTTATTTTTTTAATTGTTTATTGTTGAAAGGAGTACATAAGTCTCCTTTTTCCTCCATTGACCTCTCCCCGCCCAATCCTGCCCCCCAGCACATGCCCTCGAACCCGCCCCTAGTATCTGTATCCATTGGTTATGCTTATATGCATGCATACAAGTCTTTTGGTTGATGTCTTACCATCTTCCTGCCCCGTCCCCACCCTCCCTTGCCTTCCCTCTGAGATTTGACGGTCTGTTTAATGCTTCTATGTCTCTGGATCCATTTTTGTTCACCAGTTTATGTTGTTCATTATATTCCACAAATTAGTGAAGTCATGTGATATTTATCTTTTTCCAACTACTTGTTTTGCTTAGCATAATGCTCTCCAGGTCCATTCATGCTGTTGCAAATGGTAAGAGTTCTTTCTTTTTTACAGAAGAGTAGTATTCCATTGTGTAGATGTATCACGGTTTTTTAATCCACTCATCTGATAATGGGCACTTAGCTCTTTCCATATCTTAGTTATTATAAATTGTGCTGCTATGAACATAGGGGTGAATATGTCTTTTCTGATTGGTGTTTCTGATTTCTTGGGATATACCCCTAGCAGTGGGATTACTGGGTCAAATCAGAGTTCAATTTTTAATTTTTTGAGGAAACTCTATACTGTTTTCCACAGTGGCTGTACCAGTCTCCATTCCCACCAGCAGTGCACCAGGGTTCCTTTTTCTCTACATCCTGGCCAGCACTTGTCATTTGTTGATTTGTTGATGATAGCCATCCTGACAGGTGTGAGATGGTGCTTCATGGTCATTTTGATTTGCATCTCTCCAATGACTAGTGACTTTGAGCATACTATTTACATTTGAGTATAACCCCACAGCCAACATTATCGTCAAGGGGGAAAAACTAAAAACATTTCCCTTAAGATCAAAAACAAAGCAGGGATTTCTGTTTTTACCATTTTTTTCAATATATTAATGGTAGTTTAAACCACAGCAATCATACAAGTAGAAGAAATAAAAGGCTTCAAAAATTGGAAAGGAAGAAGTAAAAGCATTATTATTTGAAGA